GGAACATGTTCATTATTGATTGGTCAATCTTGGATGCATGTTTCATATTATGTTGTTACATGATTGATGCCTATCCATATGCATTTGTCATGATGCATTGCATATTGTTGTATATACTGTTGGTGTGTTACATACATGCTGTTAAATGTACATGTTCTACGTTGCAGCCTTTTACACTTGTTTCTTCCTGAAAACATGCGCTGTTAAAAGTTATTTTGCTTGTGTGCTGGACTTTATTGCTGTTCTGAGTAAGGATGGCAAACAAGCTCGGACCCGCCCCGAAATTAACGGGAAAAATTCGATTTAATTGGGTGCGGGGGAAACCCGGTTCTTAACTACGGGTGTGGGTGCGGGGAGACACTAAGACCCGCCCGCACCCGCCCCCGAATAATACATTTTAGTTTAATTATCTTATTTTACTTATTTTAATATTTATTAATTAATTATATTTTAAATTAAATTATTAATACCCTTATTGCAGTTAAAATAATTAAATTAATTAAGTTAATATTCATTTACTAATTAAAATTTTAATTAAATAATTAATTAATTTACTAAAATAATTAATTTTTTAATTAAATTATTAATTTTTATTGCAATTAAGAAAAATTAATTTTTTTGCGGGTGGGGGCGGGTACGGGTGCACCCGTTCTCCACTGGGGGCGGGTCTGGGCGGTAAATTTGTACCTCCGATTGGGTTTGGGGCGGGGGCAGGTGTGTTACATGGAGGCGGGTGCGGGTGCGGGTATAGTTAAACCCGCCCCCGACCCGCCCCGTTGCCATCCCTAGTTCTGAGCTAGAAGCGCTGTTGTAGCTGCTGTTTTTGTTTTGTTTTCTTTATTTTGACTTGTTCTTGCATGCTTCCTTAAGGCCTCCTAGTCCAACTTAATTTTTGATTAAGCTTGGAGTAGGATAGACATTAGGAGTTTAATCCAAGCATGGTAACATTAGGTTAATCCCTTTTAACCTTAACCATAAGTCCATCTTTTGCTTGCTAACATTAGGATATAATTTCCTTTCGCATCCCAAATTAGGACCATTTTGTATGACAATGTTAGGACCAACTTTTCCCCTTAGACCTTTCGCTCGTCTTTCTCTCATTCTCTCTCAAAACAACATCAAAAACACGTAATAAATACGATGAACACTGGGAGCCACGAGACTTAAGTATATGGGAAATGATGAGTGATGGGTCTCTCCTTACTTCATAAAGAGTGTTTCGCGTACGTCCCGTCTGGGAGCGATCATGCGACACATTTTCTCCTATAATAGACTTTAGTGCAATGTGAATCTCAAACCAATTCAATTCACTTCTCTAAAACTCATAAATAAACTCAAATCTTTTTATCCTTCGGGATCGTTTGTCAAGCCTCATTTTCAGAAAGAGTACGTTATTTTTCCTTTATATCGCAAACAGGCATCGACCCTAACTATCAGAATAGGAAGTTATCATCGCTCATAAAAAACACTAAGCAACCCGTGGTGATCCGAACTACGGCTGCTCTAATTTCTCATTCTAGATGAGGATACGTAGGCACAAGACAACGATGTATTGGCGAGCAAGCTTCCCCCTTTTCACCAGTAGTTTTTCGAACTACATTGACCCTGACTTTCCCATCGCACGAGGGAATACATAGGCCTAGGAAGGCGAAGTCCTATCGAGTTTCTTCTTTTATTTTCCTTTTTCCTTTTCGTTTTTGTTAGCAGTAGACTTTAGATAACACACCCTTTGATTAGACAACAAGCGTGATCCCGTTGAGTACAACGGACGTGAAAGGGTGCTAATACCTTCGTCTCACATAACCGACTCCCGAACCCTATATTTGGTTGCGATGGCCATGTCTTCTTCCTTTTTTCAGATTTTCTTTGATCATTTCCTTTATCTTAGTCGGGATAAATAACGTTTGATGGTGACTCTTCTATCTTTTTCCGCCAGGTGTTTTTCACAGTTGCAGCAATTGGTTAATGCCCATGTGAGATGAGTTAAAATTAGTTTAAAAGAAAAGATGCATGGGACATTGTCCCACCTCTGCGAGATTATAAATCATTGGCACCAAATGGGTTTTTAGAAATAAACTAGATGAAAACAGAGAGATAACTCGGAACAAAGCCCACCCATTGGCTTAAGGATATAACTAAGAGAATGGCATAATCTATAAGGAAATGTATGCTTTGATTGTCTCCCTTAAGGCTATACATCTTTTACTAGAATTTTCATGCTCCAAAGACTTCAAATTATTTCAAATGAATGTGAAAAGTGTTTTCCTTAATGGTTACATAAATGAGGAAGTGTATGTTTTTCAATCTCCCAGTTTTGAAAATCATGAGTATCCTAATCATGTTTATAAACTAAAACGAGCTTTGTACTGTCTCAAATAAATCTCTAGGGCTTGTTATTAGCAAGTTAGTAAATTCTTACCCAATTAAGGATACTCTAGAAGGAAGGCAGACACAACAATTTTCATTAAACTTCAAGGAGAACATCTTCTTCTAGTTCAAATTTATGTTGATGATATAATATCTGGTTCTACTAACATGCAACTAGTCAAAGAGTTTTCTAAGCTTTATGAAAGGTGAATTTGAGATGAGTCTAATGGGGGAGTTAAATTACTTTCTCGGACTTCAAATCAAGCAGCTCGAGAAAGGGACATTGTGGTAAAGCAAAATATTGTCACGAGTTGCTTAAACACTTCAGAATGACAAATGCAAAGTCAACTAACACTCCAATGCCCACTAATGGAAACTTGGGTAGAGACGAAAATGGTAAGGATCTTGAAGTCAAAATATACAGAGGTATGATCAGATCTTTTCTATACCTTATTGAATTTAGGCATGATATAATGTTTAGTATGTGCATGTGTGCTTGGTATCAATCCGCTCCCAAGGAATCACATTTAAAAGTGACAATGTGCATCCGTAGATACCTTCATGGTACATCTAAGTATGGGCTTTGGTTTTCCAAAGGGAGGGATTATAATTTGGTTGGTTATTCTGATTCCGATTTTGCCAATTTCAAATCGGATAGGAAGCATACTAGTGGAATTTCTCACTTATTTTCAAACTCCTTAGTTAGTTGGCATAGCAAGAAACAAGTCTCAGTTACTTTGTTAACTGCCAAGGTGGAATATATTACATTCAGTAGTTATTATGCTCAAATTCTTTGGCTCAAATACAAACTGCTTGACTTTGATATTAAACTTCAACGTATTCCTATGATGTGTGATACTACTAGTGCGATCAACCTAACCAAAACTGCAGTATTACATTCTCGTACTAAACATATTGAGATATGTCACCATTTCTTACGAGACCATGTTGAAAAAGGTGATTTCGTTTTTGAGCACATTGATAGCAAAACTCAACTTGCAAATATTTTCATAAAACCACTTGAGACTGAGCCGTTTTTTAATATTTGTCCACAATTGGGCAATATCAATATCTCAAATCTTGCCTAAAATATATTGTTGCATGAACTATTTATATTTTGTTTAACTTTTGTTCGAAAGTTTACTTTCTTGTTAATGCCCACCGTCGGGCACAACCCAGCCAACTCCTCGTCGAGGAGGGCCCGATGAAGACCCAATCCATCAACTCACACAGGGAACGCTCACGCGTCTCCCCCATGGTCTCCACGTGCTCCCCACGCGAGGACACGCCATCAGGCAACTACCCGCGTCCGAAAGAACAAGTTACCCACCTTCTGAAGATCATGAGGCAGTTGGACCAGGATGAAGACCATATGTTGTTCTTTCCTACGCCACGTAGATCCTGACAGTTATTCGTATTGGGCCTAGTGATCCAACCTAATGCAAAATAACCGTTGGCCCAACACTAGGGGCACATTATAAATACCCTATTTCACTAGAGGGTCAGGTATTCTATTCTCTACTCGTTGTACTTACTTTCTCCCTCTCTTTACTCTGTTTGTCACTTTAGCATTGGAGTATCTTGCAGGTACGCCCCCTCCTCTTCACCACCACCGGTGAACTAGGAGCTCACGACGTGTTGTTGCCTGCTGATCTCATTCTAGTCCGGTAAGATCAACAACCATCAAACATATTACAAGACCTATATCCATCATGATTCATAGCAATTTATCATACAATTGTATCAACAATGTCACCAAAAATCACATTCATGATCAAAGCATTCAAACATTCATCAATGGCAGAAATCTATATATGCATAGACATGAAAGCAATAGCAAATTTCAAAGCATCGATCTTAATTTTATGACAACATACCGCCGAATCCATAAGATCTTTTGCTGCATAAAATCACATGCGTTTTACAATCCTTCTTGGTGAGGTTAACAAACACACAATATACAGAAAACACAAACAACATACAAAATAAAATACAAATAACATACGATAGATGGAGAAAAATTTAAAACATGGTATGCTGACTCAGGACTTTGAATTCACATGAAAGGAAGACGCAAGCCTAATATCTAGACTGCTGTCTTCTGTCTTTCATTTCTTCGACTTCCTTTAAATGGTGCAGCTACTCTCTTCTATCTTTGGCTTCTTCTACCTTTTGCTTCTTCTACTTCCTTTAAATGGTGTATAAAAAAAATGTGATTTACAAAAAGATTCTATTTAAATATCTAAAAATTAGTGAATTTGATTTTCAACTTGGTTGTCACTATTGAGTTTTCATTAAATGTATTGAGGATAGTAAAATTTAACTTTTAACTAACACAAATTAAATTATACATTCGATAATAATTTTAAATTATGATGACCCATCTAAATGCATAAAATAAATTATTACTAGTACTAAATATTATAAGGTGGGTGCTTTTGTAATATCGAGGGGGTGTGTAAAGCAATTATGAAGGTTTGTATAGTATGCTACCGAAAAAATAAAAGAAAATAGTCCAACAGGTAGAAAAGTTTCTGATTATTCTTCTTTCTCCGCCCTAAACCGAATCAAATAAACAAAAACTTCGCTTACTCTCTCTTCTCTCGTTCGTTCCTGCCGGAGATTAATCTACCATGTACAGGAACATTTTTTCGCGCCTTAGAACCATCAAGGTTAGTATTTTTCTTCTTCATTTTCAATTCCTTTTTTCATGCCCTAGATCTCACAATTTCAATTTCAATTCAATCAAATCATGTTTTTCGATTACTGTTTTAGATTTATGATTTTGCATTAGGTTAATTGTCTAATAGTTTGGTTGTGGTTAACCAATGAGTTTAGGCTCGTTCGTGCAATAGGGTTCCTGGAACTACCAGATTTGCAAGTTCAAGTTCTGTTGCGGCAAAACAATCTTCTTCTGGTTTAGGTGGAATATTCGGATGGCTCACCGGATCGTCCACTTCTGTGCCACCTCTCGATTTCCCACTTCCCGGTGTTGCACTTCCTTCTCCTTTGCCTGATCATGTTACTCCCGGGAAAACGATTATTACTACACTCCCGAATGGAGCTAAAGTCGCCTCTGAAACATCACTGGTATGAGTTAATTTTTGGTGATTGTTATGTGTTATATGATTAGTGTATTTAAATGTATTGACACATGTTATTCGCGTTGTTGTTGTTTAGTCTCCTGCTGCCTCGATAGGTTTATATGTGGATTCTGGTTCAATCTATGAGACCCCTTTAACTTTTGGGGCTACACATCTGCTTGAACGGATGGCTTTTAAGAGCACGGTAAACAGGAGTCACTTTCGAGTGGTCCGTGAAGTGGAGGCAATTGGTGGCAATGTGCAGGCTTCGGCTTCTAGAGAGCAAATGGGTTACACTTTTGATGCTTTGAAGACTTATGTTCCTGAAATGGTGGAGTTGCTGGTTGATATTGTGAGGAACCCCGCGTTTCTTGATTGGGAGGTCAATGAGCAGGTACCTTCACTGAATCCTTATGAGGACTTGTAGAATGTTTTTACTGATTGTTTTGTGCACAACTCAGCATTTCTATTGGAACCTAAACATGCAAGTCGGCTTGATGTGCTCAACCCCTAAATGTGAAGGCATTAGGCATATGCATACCCACTGCTCACATGGAAAAAATTCTTTAATTGATAATCATCACACATAAGAGTTGAATGCAAAGTTGGTTGTGAAAAAGCATTAATAACAGAAACTAGTCTTCCATGATTCTAATAGATAGTTTAGAAAAGGGGTATAGACCTTAGTTTAAAGTCAGCACAAAAACATAAACAAATCAGTACTAGCAGTAGTGAGCTATAGGAAGCCTCAAAAGAAACTGTATGCATACATATATGATATTATGTTGTTAGTAGCGGTGGCAAGGTTCGTTGCGAGGCTTTTGGCCTGCGAGTCGTCATCAGCAACAGCGGTTGATGTGGCCGCTAAATGTTGTCCCAAACTGTTACCGTGTCTGCTGTTAGGGTTTCAGGGATAAATTCCTCAAACCTAATTTTTTAAACCGTTGTCTGTTCTTGAAGGGTAGAAATTTCAATCTGAACCCTTTTGAGGGTGGTGTTCTGTTCTCCATTATGTTATATTCTTACTCACAAACAATCATTTACGTTCTTCTTCTTCTTCTTCTAACTTTTAGTTCAGTTTTGTTATGTTCTTCTCTGCTTAAGTTTTATGCTCTCTACTTAAGATTCTTTAACTATTAAGTGTGACCGTCTCATTAATTTCGTGTATTTTTCTAGTTTGTAGTATTTATGTTTACTTTGTATAGTGATATTTAGTCTTTACCAATGTAGTCAAGCACAAGATCTTAAGTAGGATAGGTCGGCTTGTGAGAGATCGTAAAACTTGGATCGTTAGCACCGCATATAAGACCCTACAAAAGGGAAAAAGGGTAATTTCATACATATGTATGTATACACACACATACAAAAAACATGAAAATCACATACATGACCAAAAAATAGACCCAGCACGTTTTTTTTACAATATTGCTTCAAAAAGCTCGATATTGACCACGCCAGCGAAGAAAACGATTTTTCTGATCGTAGCACTCTCAGGCATCCTTAGCATGTAAGATCTTACGATCCAGCAGTCGATCTTGACTACACTGGTCTTTACAATAGAGGCTATCCCGCTATTGGCTGTAGGATTTTAGAGGATTGGTACTATGCAACACTATCTGAGATTAACAACCAATGGGGGACTGTAAAGTTGAACTATAGTAAAATAATTGTGACTGGAAAAACTAGTGGGTTTATGTGCTATGCTTTATTTATTTATTTATTTTTTAAAACAAATAAATTTTAGCAGTCTGTTTCAATCGAGATGAAACTGCCTCTGTTAGCAATATTTTCCATATTGCATCTAGTGTGTCCTGTTTTCTTGTTTATTTGGTCCAGCTACTTTTTGCAGTCTACTGTCAAACTACATCACAGATTCCCAGGTCCTATTTGTATGTGTATATGTGACAGTGTTGTTTGGTTTTATTTGGTCTTCAACTATGTAACTCCTATCTCAAATGCCCTTTACTTCGCATGCTCCAATTTTTGGTGTGTTACTTAAATGTTAAATGGTGATAGTTAAACTTTCAGAGACTATAAAATTGGGCACCTCAAATATATATCATTCACAGGGCTCAGTTTTTGGCTTGCCTCATTTAGCCACAGCACCTGGAGCTTGTTCTAGTACTGGCTTAAACATATTTGCGCGATCGAAGTTATATATTATAAATAACTTGTGCGTTGAAAAAAAGTTGTATATATATTATAGTAAGACAATCAGCTTAGATACTCTACTCATCAGATTTTTATATTTAAATTTTAACTGCTTTATAGAACAATGAGTTTCTGTCAATAAAAGTGAATGGTAATGTGTTCCTGATGCTTACGTTTGTCACGGCCTTTTAATTTTTTGCTGTTATTAATACCGTTATTATATATAGCTTCTGAAAGTGAAGGCTGAGATTGGCGAAGCTTCCAAAAACCCTCAAGACTTGCTATTGGAAGCAATTCATTCTGCTGGTTTTTCTGGTGCCTTGGCTAATCCTCTTTTAGCTTCAGAATCAGCAGTAAGTAGACTAAATGGTGCACTTCTGGAAGAATTTGTTGCTGTAAGTCCTCAATGACTCAATGTTGATGTATATGTATAATGTCGTATTAGTTGTTTCTCAAAAATCTATTATTTAACTGTTAATCACTTTCTTATGAGACTTCTAATTTTGTAAAACATCAGGAAAATTATACCGCACCTCGAATAGTACTTGCAGCTTCTGGTGTTGAGCATGAGGAATTGTTATCCGTTGCTGAACCTCTTTTGTCCGATTTACCCAGTGTCCCACGTCCACAGGAGCCAAAATCAGTATACACTGGTGGTGATTATCGTTGTCAAACTGAAACAGGGGTATGCATTAGAAAAATATATTTTGCTTTGTATTTATTTATGTTACATCTCTAGTTTTTACAGTTTGGGCTCAATCATCTGTCAAGTCTAACATTCCTTTGATGGCCAGAGGACTCATTTTGCTCTTGCGTTTGAACTTCCCGGCGGCTGGCATAATTTGAAGGATGCTATGGTTTTGACTGTTCTTCAGGTCTTGATTTATGCCTTTTATTTGTCTTTTTCTTCCCATTTATAAGGTGGTCCGAAGTTTGTCTAAGAGTGTGGATTGTTTAGTTGGCTCCTTTAAGTATGTTTATATTATTAATGTTTCTGTTAAGTCAGCATATTGACCGTATTATCTTACATAATACAGATGCTATTGGGAGGCGGTGGATCATTCTCAGCTGGTGGGCCTGGTAAAGGGATGTATTCACGGCTATGTAAGTTATCTTGACGTATTCAGTCTTTTTTGGCTCTTTGCTTTAGTTGAAGCTTGGAATATAGATTTAAATAGTCAGTTACATATGGAGGCCCTGTATGGCTCCATCTTATTTGGGATGGTCTAGATTTTATGTTTTAGTCTTTATAACTAAGAAGCATATTTCCCCCTAAGAATAATTGAATATGTATTCTTTTGTAAATATTGTCAGCTTAACATTCTTGCTTTTTATCACATGCAGATCTCCGTGTTCTGAATGAGTATCCACAAGTTCATTCAATTTCAGCCTTCAACAATATTTACAATAACACTGGCATTTTTGGTATCCAAGTCACAACAGTAAGTCCCTCCAAATTCTGTCTATAATGAAACCATATTTTTGGAAATATTTGAACTTTTATGTTGACCAATGTTATATGTAATGTAATTACGGATGCTTTTAAGTAATCTATTAAAGGTGACCTTAATCACAATTTCAGCGTGTTTTGAAGCCATGAGATAATTCAACAACCGCGTAAATTCAAGTTTTGCTTAAATCACAAATATTAGTGAACATAAAAGATTTGCGCCTTAGTGTGAAAATCAACTTTGGTAGGTTTACAGTAATGCTTGAACAGATTTGTGTTGTGTTTTTGAGGCTAGACTTCTGCATATTATCTGCGGTTCATTTATTTAGTCTAAATAAGATTTTATGCAATTAAGGTCCACTTTTGCGTTAAGACTTTTTAAAATACAAAGACTAATATATACAATTATACATACTTTTGTTGCAATTATACAGCTTCCATGGGATATTAACTGAATGAGAATTTATTAGTATTCTTTATGTTTTTTCATCTGCGACCTCATTTTCATTTGTGTATTAGGGTTCAGATTTTGTGTCAAAAGCCATTGATATTGCAGCTAATGAGATTCTTGCAGTTGCTACTTCTGGACAAGGTATGCGATATGTTCTTTGACAAGTATTTTGCGTCTTGATTATCAATTTATCACCTTTAGATAACACATTCTATCTGTCTGCAGTCGACCAGGTACAGCTGGACCGTGCCAAACAAGCTACAAAATCTGCAATTTTAATGAATTTGGAATCACGAGTATGTAAATCCAATCTCAAATGAAAAATTTACTTGGAAATTATGACTTTTTTTTTTCATTTAACTTTTGTTTTCCCTTGTTAGTATCTGATTAGTATTGTACTTGATGTGTTCTCAGATGGTTGTTTCAGAAGATATTGGAAGACAAGTTTTGACATATGGTGATAGGTATGGCTATTACTCGGAAGCTGTTAGTTTTATCATAAAATAAAATGTTGCGCGATGCAACCGTTGCTTGTATTTGTTGCATGCTTGAAAGACTATATATATTTTCTGGAGCTAAAACTTGTCCTTGTACACAGGAAACCTGTGGAGGATTTTTTGAAAGCAGTGGATGAAGTAAATTTGAAGGACATTGCTTCAATTTCTCAAAAGCTCATCTCTTCCCCTCTCACAATGGCATCATATGGAGATGGTAAATCAATATTCCTTTTTATTTTAAATTAAAAAAACTGTAATTTCTTTGTCATGTGTAGTAATTGTAACCCTCTCCATGTTTTGCAGTTTTATATGTTCCAAGCTATGAATCAGTGAGCAGGAGGTTCCGTTCAAAATGAGATCCATTTTTTATCCATCCTATTGATTCTTGTTGAAATGCAATCAAGTCTTGTAAGCCTAAAAGTGTATAATTTAAGTTAAAATCTTATAAATCCTTGTTGTAATCAATAAATTAGCGAATGTGTGCAAACAACATCTGCATATTTAATCATTTTTGAGTAAACAGCCATTGAATTTTAATGACCTTGAAGCACATGACATGTATGTTTTTAGTCTGAGCTTTAAACTACCGAGTATTTGGACTGAAAATCCCATGCTTGGAAACAAAGTCATATTTATTTATCAGTAACTTGTTTTGAATTAAATTAATATATTTGTGGATGAATTTTATCTTGCTTACATTTTTCAGCTTTTATAATGGTTCCTGTCATGAGATAATCTATTGTCAAATTATAGATACACTTATTAAAAGAGTCTTTTAAGGTAATTATTTTTTTAAAATAAAGTGTAATTTAAAATTTCTGTAAGGTTTTACATCTCAACATTTTATGTTTAATAGAAAAGGTTTTTAGATTTATTTAAATTTCTTACATAACACTATATAACACACGATTATGAGTAAACAAAAAGAAAAAAGCATAGTGACTTAAAAATTGACAGAAACTTATACTATTGTATGCGGTATTTATGCGAAAATATATTCTAGTTTTTTCCTGCCAAATATGTGTACGGATTAAGAATTATTCTTGCTTTTGGTGTAACTTATTATGAAGCTTGGGTCCAATTGGTCAAAACAGTATTTAGAGGAGTAAAGTTGAAGAAAGCTATCAATTATAAGATAATAAACCAATCAACATCATTATTTTTTCATATTATCACCTGTCAAACCCACTTCTGTACTTGCCAACTAATTTCATTCTTTTGGAAACTCTTCTTAATTATATCCATGAGTTACTCCTACAAGTTACAATTTCGGATGAGAAACCCATAGTTATACTTTTCGTCCATTAAAGAAAAAAAAGAAAGAAGACTAAATTGAGTGTTCGATTATAATGTAGTAGTGAAAATTTCAAGACTTTTTCACCCAATAAAGAATTACACCCATTAAAGAAAAAAAAGAAAGAAGACTAAATTGAGTGTTCGATTATAATGTAGTAGTGAAAATTTCAAGACTTTTTCACCCAATAAAGAATTACACTCCACAAGGAACGTTGAAGTGAGGTCCATACCAAAAACATCATAAAATGAACAGTAATATTTACTAATATTTAGTAACGATTAAAAGCTGTCGCTAAAAATTTACTGTTCATTTTTACTGTTTATTTTTTAACAATTACCAACGATTTTTAAACTGTTGAAGAATGAACCGTATTTTTTAGTTACAGTAAAAAATATCACAAAAAAACAGTAATATTTAATGACGGTTAAAAACCGTCACTAATTATTAAAAATGAAAAAGAAGAATATCACTCATGTGAGAGACCTATAAAAGTCTCACATTGTATCTTGAGCCATAAAATATTATTATTAAGGTTGGAACTATGGTATTAACAACTATGTTTAAAAAAGATCAATAGATATAATTCTAAAAATCATTTACAAATTCTCAACGGTTAATAGAAAAGAATCAAACGTTTCTATTAAATTAAAAAGAATAATATTTTTTTTCTTTGAAAATATTGTCTATTTTAAAAAAAAAAATCACCATTTAATTTATTCCTAATAACGAATGAGATTTGATCTAAAACTTTGAACTTATACTAGTATCAACAGATTCTAATATATATATATATATATATATAAGTGTAAGAATTGTTGCAAAATAAACTATGTTGTAATTCTGATAAAAATAATACTAAGCTGTATTAACCAACACTTTAAAATTTGTAATCTGGAATATACATATCCATCGTACAAAGAATTGTACTGTTTTAAGCAATATCCTAAATTTGTGAAGAAAAAGAAACAAATATCCTCAAAGATGAATTATGCGAAAATAAAAAGAGAGTATGTTGGAATTTTCTTGGCTGTGTATTTAGAATATTTGAATGTGTATAAACTAAACCTATGCTTTTTTTTAGTATAATAACTAAAATTAGTATACAAGATTATATTCCTTGAATCACTCCGTGGCATATAAACTATACTCTAAAATAATAGTGATAAATATCATAAACTAAGGAATATTTATGTAATGAATAATGAGAAGATATATACAACACTATACACTGTTAAGATATGTAGGCTCCATCGATTTGTTAGAATAATGGATAATTAAAAGAAATTTTATTTTATTATTATTTTCAATGAAATTTTGCTAGGTGTATGTTTCTCTCAAATATATATACGATCCTCTAAAGATAAGATAATAAATATTCCTTAGGAGTCTTGATATTTTAGGTGAAAATTAATTAAGATGTTAGTAAAATTGAATTTTTAAGATTGAAAATTGCAAAGAAAAAGGTGCAATGATAAGCATTTATTTATTATAGTGCATATAACATGGTAAGGGTCCCTCCATGATTTTATTTCTTGACTGCACACCATAGAATTAGTTATAAACGTGAAGCTTAACCATCATCTGATTAAGATACTTTTTGAAGGCCAAAGATTTTTCATGCTGATGGAGGACCCACATGATGCATGAGGCTATGTTCTTTATTCTTTTATGTGTATATATTATAAGATGTGTACCAATAATTTACACTATATTATAATAGAAATAACACAAGGGGTAAAGTTTGTGACAATGGAGAAAGAAAGAAAAAGCTAGACTTTCATGTACACACTAGTTTTAACTTAGGTTTAGATTTTTATGATTGAATGTCCCGTTATAGGTCCATTCTATTGAAATTTGAATCACATATACAAGTATAAGATTGGTTTTAGGGGTGCTTGACTTGTTTCAGAATCTTTGAAAAGGAAATGTATAGTCTTTGGTTTTGATCTTGATTTGCCATTTTAGGGTTTGAACTATTTGAAAACTTTAAAACAATTGTATTTTAGATAAGAATGTTTGTCAATAAACCTCTAAATCTAGGATTATTAGTTTAGCATAGAGGTGTTCAAAATCAAAACAGTCCAATATAAAACCGTAAATCAAACCGAACCAGACTAAAAACTGCAAAAAAATCTAACTTGGATCGAATGTTTTTGAGTCATATTTTAACAAAACCACATGGTTTGATTCGATTTGCAATTTGTATTTTGCAAACCGAACTAAAGCATATTAAACCGCATTATGTTACAATCCAAATTTCACTTAGCTCATATCAAACCAAAACCTAAAACTATTATGCCTTAACCTTATCATTTCGAACAATTTTATCTTCTTTAATTTTAAGATTTCAGTTCCAGTCTTCTCAAATCTCTCGTAGTAATATTGTGCCTTCTTTGCCAGATACATCCTTCCTCTTCTTGTCTAATCTTTACTCTCTCATATTTTTTCTTCTCATTTTTATGCTACTATTCTTTCTTCTAATTTTGTTTTTATCACACCTCTTCTTCTCTAATTTCTTCTCTATTTTGTTTTTTCTTTTTCATCTTCACGAATCTCTCATCTCCTCTATTTTTTTTTTGTTTCATTATAATATTTTTGATATTGTTTTATGTTTATTATTCCACTTTTGTCTAATATGATTTTTACATATTAAATGGAGAGTTGTTGTCCAAATGTAATGAATTTTGTTGTTATTTGATAATGTATAAATGATTAAATACAAACTTATGTTGTCCTCTATATGTGTATGTATGGTTTGGTTTGATTCAATTTTATTTTTAAAAGTCAAACGAATCAAATTAAACCTTATATTTTTTCTGTCTTATAGTTCAGATGACTTTTATCATAAAAACTGCCCAAACTGTATCGCAAACACTTCTATTTAAGATATTTTTTTAACTTTGTTTCTTTTTTATCTTAAATACTGTCGATGTTCTTAATTTTTTATATGTCTTTTACTATTATTTTTAATATATGATTTCAACTTTGTTATTAAAATAAAAGAATTAAGAGATAAATACGATTTAGAAAATAGATTGGATTATGACTAGTTAATAGAATAGTAGAAAATAATATATGATTTTTTGACATTAAATGTCCTTAAAGAAGATTCTTGAGTTTCTGAACCCTAAAATTTTACTATAAAGTCTAACTAAAAATTTAAAATCACGTACACAGTATTATAAAACCATCACAAACAACAGTACTTGATAAAAAAGATTTTTGTAGATCATTAACATTTTAAAATTGTAATATATATTTATGGGTGTATATGAATTAGGTAATATTGAGTTTGACATAACAAAGAAAAAAAGAGTAAAATGTATAGCATAATTAAGGTTGTATTATTTAATAAATTAGAAGAATAGAAGGTGGTGGTCCATCAAGTACATTGGTGATTTTTCTTGATTAACAAGCAACCTCATAATAGTAATACTATTGCCTCTCTCTCTCTCTCTCTCTCTCTCTCTCTCTCTCTCTCTCTCTCTCTGCAAAACATTCATACCAAAAGCATCATCATCAGCACTCCACCTCAAACCCCATGTGAGTTTCTATCATCCTTTTTCCCATTCTATTTCCCTTTATTTATTATTATATCTCACATTAATTAAATATTATTAATCTGTCTTCTAAACTTTGCCACATTGACACGTATTAACCGAAAGTGAGTTTTTAATTACATGTAACAAAAAATTACGAGAAGTTGAGTTTCTATTGATAAAAACCATGACTTTGTAAAATTGCTTATTTCCAATATTTACTTGAGAATGAGAATTACATGTAGTAACAATAAACTATGACGTTTGATTTTTATGAATTTCTGGCATATTTGACTTGTTTGCAAATGCATTACTCACTCCGGTTAAAACACACAAATTAATTAAAATAAATTAATGAATAGTTAGAGTAATTTGGAAAATATGAGGTTAAGAATTGAGAAAGAAAAATAGAAAGAAAATAATTGAGGATAAAAATAAAAATTAGTATTAAGAATAATTGAGAGCACTAAAGACTTTTTATACATCAGTTACAAATTATTGTGAAAAGTAAAACAACTTA